GCCAAGATAGACAAAACATTATGCAGGGTTTAGAGTAAGTGTTTTAAGAAATGCAGATCTATGTTTGAAATAAGTCCTCTGAGAAACTTCATTAAGCAGTCTATGGTTGTACTGACAGTGGGTTGCACATAGAGTTTATACGATTCCTGGCACTTTTAGAACAGTTACACATATTTCAAACCTAGTTGGAGAATTGCAAAGTACACAAGGGTACAGATAATTATTGAACAGCTGTGACAACACTACTTTTAACCTGTATTGTTAACTTAAGTAGTGAAGACAATTACTCCTTTTTGAGATTATGCCTCTTGTTATCAAAACAGTAAACCGTGGGAAAACAGGGCAAACTGTTTCAGTGGTGAAATAAATACATTGCAGGGAGGGATTTGCATTCTGAAGACAAGAAACGTTTGGGTGTTGCAGTGACATAAATTGAATGTTTGTTTGTTCGTTTGTTTGTTGTTTAACACCTCACTCAGCATTATTCCAGCTATATGATGGTGGTCTGTAAATAATCAAGTCTGGAGCAGACAATCCAGTGATTGACATCATGAGCATTGATCCACGCAATTGGGATATGATGACATGCATCAACCAAGTCAGCGAGCCTGACCATCCACTCCTGTTCGTCGCCTCTTACAATAAGCATAGTCGCCTTTTACGGCAAGCATGGGTTGCTGAAGACCTATGCTACCCTGGATCTTCACAGGTCGGCAAGCATGGGTTGCTGAAGACGTATTCTACCCTGGATCTTCATGGGTCGGCAAGCATTGGTTGCTGAAGATGTATTCTACCCGGATCTTCATGGGTCGGCAAGCATGGGTTGCTGAAGATGTATTCTACCCGGATCTTCACAGGTCGGCAAGCATGGGTTGCTGAAGATGTATTCTACCCTGGATCTTCATGGGTCGGCAAGCATGGGTTGCTGAAGATGTATTCTACCCGGATCTTCATGGGTCGGCAAGCATGGGTTGCTGAAGATGTATTCTACCCGGATCTTCACAGGTCGGCAAGCATGGGTTGCTGAAGATGTATTCTACCCGGATCTTCATGGGTCGGCAAGCATGGGTTGCTGAAGACGTATTCTACCCGGATCTTCATGGGTCGGCAAGCATGGGTTGCTGAAGATGTATTCTACCCGGATCTTCACAGGTCGGCAAGCATGGGTTGCTGAAGACGTATTCTACCCTGGATCTTCATGGGTCGGCAAGCATGGGTTGCTGAAGATGTATTCTACCCGGATCTTCACAGGTCGGCAAGCATGGGTTGCTGAAGATGTATTCTACCCGGATCTTCACAGGTCGGCAAGCATGGGTTGCTGAAGATGTATTCTACCCGGATCTTCACAGGTCGGCAAGCATGGGTTGCTGAAGACGTATTCTACCCTGGATCTTCACAGGTCCATGAATGGAATGACACAAATATGAAAAGACTAGTAATACCGAGGTCCCCTGCAGTAGAGTGGGTTATCCCTTACTCTTGAAGTCCAGACTCTTCAGCACCTGCAGCTATGGTTGCTGATTATCCAACAAACTTCACAGCCAATTCCTGCGACTAATACTTTCTCCGTTGGTAATATTTCCTTAATTACTATTGGATTGCTAACATCTGAGACTACAATAAATCCCACATGACAAGAATGTTTGTTTGATCATTGTGACAGACAAATATTAAATATATGACTAGTCATTTTTTCATCACATACTTTTTTGTGATGATGCATTTCGACCAGGACAAAATGAAAATAACCACCAAAAGTGTCTGGCTTGATTGTCTTTGAGAACTGAGGTAATTCTTTATTAATTTATTAATAGCAGCTAGACTATTGACATAATTCTATAATTAATCAATGATCACCTACCTATAAAATTACCTACCTACTCTTCCATCAACCATCCCACCTGCCTACCTACCAACCTTTCTAGAGCTACCCACCTACCACATTGTCTACCTACCTACCTACCTACCTACCTACCTACCTACCTACCTACCTACCTACCTTTATAGAGCTACCCACCTACCAAATTGTCTACCAACCTACCTACCTACCTACCCACCCACCCACCTACTAACCACTGACCTACCGACCTACCCACCTTCCCACCTACTTACCTACCTACCTACCAACCTACCCACCGACCTACCCACTGACCTACCTACCTACCTACCTACCTATCCATTAGCACATGCACTACCAACCTATCCACCTTTCCAACCACCCATATACACCTACCACCCTTCCTACCCACCCACCGACCTACCCACCAAGCCACACACCAACCCACCAACCTACCATCTACCTATCTTCCTAGCTATCTTCCTCCCAACCTATACACCTTTCCTATCACCCATATGCACCTACCCACCGATCTACCCACCGACCTGCCCACCGACCCACCCACCCACCAACCGACCCACCCACCGACCTACCCACAGACCTTCCCACCGACCCACCCACCGACCTACCCACCGATCTACCCACCGACCTGCCCACCGACCCACCCACCCACCAACCGACCCACCAACCGACCCACCAACCGACCCACCCACCGATCTACCCACCGACCTGCCCACCGACCCACCCACCCACCAACCGACCCATCCACCGACCTACCCACCGACCTTCCCACCGACCCACCCACCGACCTACCCACCGACCTACCCACCGACCTTCCCACCGACCCACCCACCGACATACCCACCGACCTTCCCACTGACCCACCCACCGACCTACCCACCGACCTACCCACCGACCTTCCCACTGACCCACCCACCCACCCACCAACTGACCCACCCACCGACCTACCCACCGACCTTCCCACTGACCCACCCACCGACCTACCCACCGACCCACCCACCGACCTACCCAAAGACCCACCCACCGACCTACCCACCTACCTGCCCAGTTCCCTTATCCTGCATCCACCCATTCCCCACCCAACAAAACACCCACCTATCTACCTAATCTTTCAACCCACCATGTTCTTAAGTAGGGTATCTGCAAACCAAAATATTTAGAAAGCAATACATGGTCTTCTTGTGCCTCTCATACTAATATTGGTGTTTAACATCTTCATGAGAATGTCTCAGGAGGGAGCTCTATTGCCAGTGCATCAAGCCACCATGAAGACGCCTTGTGAGAAGTCAAATTTCCGGCACCAGCTATAGTCGATTCGTAGGCAATGCAATTTGACAAAATCATCATCAGGGCATGGGTGCATCTCACACGACAGTCTCGCTAGCTTACTTGTCAACTGGTCACAGTGTTCATTAACCTATTTGATCACAAGACAATTTTCTTCCTCGGGGTCAGAAGGTTCGTGGGATTCTATAATCAAGTGTCCATTATATGTAAGTGAAGGAGGGACTTTGATTCACCATCATCAATACCTCCCTGCTTCAGTTACGGATATTCCAGTTTATCTCTAAGCTGTATGGTCAGGGCATTTTCACAATTACAGTAGTATGGTGTCTACTATTGATGTCCCCACTTGTTATTGATGCATAGCCATCAGCCTGTGGACAATTGCAGTGTATTGATAGTTCAATGGGTCATTGCCTCCCTCTTCATCTGAAACTCAAACCTGGCCGGCCACCTGATACCTTTCTCTCTGAGGCAACTTTGGAATTATGTTGGAATGACTTTAGCAGTTATGAGTCACACAAACTTACATTAGAGGTCTGTAAATGTTGTGCACTTCCGTGACAGTTCTGTCCAGGTTTAACCTTCCAGAGTCCGTCATCAAAGGTTATGGGCCACTGTATTATGAGTGTCATTGTTTACATTGTTTTCCAGACTCTGTCATCAAAGGTTACAAGAGTTACTCTTTAATGAGTTGTATCATTGTTTACCTTTGATTACTCTGTCGTGAGTAACGCTTTAATGAGTTGTGTCATTGTGTACCTTTGATTACTCTGTCGTGAGTAACGCTTTAATGAGTTGTGTCATTGTGTACCTTTGATTACTCTGTCGTAAGTAACGCTTTAATGAGTTGTGTCATTGTTTACCTTTGATTACTCTGTCGTAAGTAACGCTTTAATGAGTTGTGTCATTGTGTACATTTGATTACTCTGTTGTTGTGAGTAACGCTTTAATGAGTTGTGTCATTGTGTACCTTTGATTACTCTGTCGTTGTGAGTAACACTTCAATGAGTTGTGTCATTGTTTACCTTTGATTACTCTGTCATTGTGAGAAACGCTTTAATGAGTTGTGTCATTGTTTACCTTTGATTACTATGTCATTGTGAGTAACGCTTTAATGAGTTGTGTCATTGTTTACCTTTGATTACTCTGTAGTTGTGAGTAACGCTTTAATGAGTTGTGTCATTGTTTACCTTTGATTACTCTGTCATTGTGAGTTACGCTTTAATGAGTTGTGTCATTGTTTACCTTTGATTACTCTGTCGTGAGTAACGCTTTAATGAGTTGTGTCATTGTTTACCTTTGATTACTCTGTCATTGTGAGTTACGCTTTAATGAGTTGTGTCATTGTTTACATTTGATTACTCTGTAGTTGTGAGTAACGCTTTAATGAGTTGTGTCATTGTGTACCTTTGATAACTCTGTCGTTGTGAGTAACGCTTTAATGAGTTGTGTCATTGTTTACCTTTGATAACTCTGTCGTTGTGAGTAACGCTTTAATGCAATAAAGGTCTGTCATGGTTGTTGCAATAGAGGTCTGGCATGGTTGTTGCAATGGAGGCCTTCATGGTTGTTGTGACAGAGGTCTGTCATGGTTGTTGTAACCGAGGTCTGTCATGGTTGTTGCAATGGAGATCTGTCATGGCTGTCACAATAGAGGTCTGTCATGAATGTTACAACAGAGGTCTGCAATGGTTTAATAGAGGTCCATTATGGTTGTTGCAACAGAGGTCTGGCATGGTTGTTGCAATGGAGGTCTGTCATGGTTGTTGCAATAGAGGTCTGTCATGGTTGTTGCAATGGAGGTCTGTCATGGTTGATGCAATAGAGGTCTGTCATGGTTTTCCTTATTTTCCAGACTCTGTCAACAACAGCAACAGCACAGACCCATGACTCCGATCTACAAGGCTCCAATCAGATCCTGATGCGGGACGACAACTTTGACAGCACATCCAACCTGCCCCAGTCAGACACTGACCTTGACCCTCAGGAGAGGGAACAGGAAGAGGAGGCCAAGGGGAAATGGGACAAGAAGATCGAGTACCTCCTCGTCTGCAGCAGTTTCGTGGTGGGGATTCCCAACCTGCTCCAGTTCCCCGCCATGACAGCAAAACATGGGGGTGGTGAGTGTCATTCATTACTCTACCTTCCCCCTGTGTTTCCATTGCCAGGTCAGGATGGGTGGCACAGTCATCTGAGCTGTCACAGTTCACTATGCAGAGGTGCATCCCATGGGCCTGCCCAAACCCTATGATTGTGGGTTTGAATTAGGAGATAAACATACTGTGTTTTCAATGTAGAGCACGGCAACTTGGTAGGCTAACATGAGGTGGGCATCCCTAAAGAAAACAAAGCAAGCTTTGCAAGGCTTTCACTCGACATCGCACGTCACCATTATGACGTCATGTCACTCATTGTGACGCAAAAGATATGCCATCACAGTCGTATATAGAAAAGCTAAAAAATTCCAAGCTCCAAAATGTAAATTCATTCCCTTTGTTGATTTCTGTCGTGTTTTTCTGCACGAAATGTATTGCCACACATCCTTTGAATATTGTAGTAACCGCATCTGTGCATTTTGTAACCTGTAATTGTAGATATAATTATTTAAATATGCCTACCGACAATGACTGAAAATAGTACTATTCTATGAATACTAGCTTCCGCGATGATGCGGCCGTCAAACCAGCTGTTTCAATCAGAGGGGGTTTATTGTGATTTAATAGCCTCTGATTGACCAATCAGAATAAAGTAAATTCCAAATTCATGGTAGAATCCCCATTCACCCTGATTATGTTTCTAGGTTTGTCAGCACCATACATGTGTGTTTGTCAGGGTTTTTCAAAGTGGAATTAAACGTCTGAGTCCGACACCACTTTGGGCTTTCCTTCCACATTAGGCTGACATGCTGTGCAATAACTGGAATACTGTTAAAAGTGGCATTAAAACACACTCAGTCACCTAATTGCCAGGCAAGAGGTAAGTGGGTCGGGGTAGGTTTGTCAGTGGTCAGTGATCTCATGCATTGTTTGCAATGTAGAGGTTTGTCCCAAGATTTGTCTGGTTTATACTTGCCAATACTTGCTGTGCAAAGTTGTCTCTCTTGATCATGCACTTGAATGCCAGATTCCCCTATTTTGTTTCCTTGGCTTGCAGCAATATACATTTGCATTTGACTCTCACCAAAGTACAATTTGGAATTTAGTTCACTTTAGTTCTACATTAATGTGTCTCAAAGCGAGATGGGTGGTTGTGGTTGTAAGGGGACTATGCTCCATGATATAGAGCCTCTTAGGGCCTAGGGACCGTCGGGTAGCCTAGTGGTTAAAGCGTTCACTTGTCACGCCGAAGACCTGGGTTCGAATCCCAACATGGGTACAACGTGTAAAGCCCATTCCTGGTGTCCCCTGCTGTGATGTTGCTGGAATATTGCTAAAAGCGGCATAAAACCATACTCACTCACTCTTTGGGCCTATGTCTGGACGTTGTAATATTCACTTGTCAAACTAACACATTGTGTGTAATAAATTATCAATATATATCTAATTTTGAGTTGAGAGTCAGACAACATACTTTTGAATGACTTAAATCAAACAAGCTAGGACTATTAGCCTGAGTCTAGTTCCTCTTTAATTAAAGTGTGAGCATGTCTTGTTGATCAACCAGCTTCAATGCCCACAGGATGTAGGGACAGGGTAACACATTCCTACAGAAACTGTCAACAGAGGCTCTAAATTAAATGATGTCACTTCATAATGTGATTCATTAGGTGAACTGTATAAATCATAAATTAATTCTTAATTGATTTGACTGAAACGTTCCTTTCTTGTATTTCAGGGGCTTTCTACTTTGTGTATATAATTGTATCATGCTTCCTGGGAGTGCCTTTACTGTACATGGAGATGAGCCTTGGACAGTTTGCTCGACGAGGCCCCATCTCAGCCTGTAGGATTATGCCTGTAGCTCAAGGTAGGTTTTTTGGCCAAAAGAAATATGTGTTTCAACTCATGTGTGCAGTGTTAGATAAGCTGGTGAAGGTCTTCCATTTTGTGCAGAGTATTTTTTTGTGGTTGCATTTTAAAGAATAAAAATAATTAGTCTAGGTTACCACGGCAGATGGTTTCTTGGTTTACTTTATGTTAGCACAGCAGATGGTTTCTTGGTTTACTCTATGTTACCAGAGCAGCTGGTTCCTTGGTTTACTCAAGGTTACCACAGCAGATGGTTTCTTGGTTTACTTTATGTTACCACAGCAGATGGTTCCTTGGTTTACTCAAGGTTACCACAGCAGATGGTTTCTTGGTTTACTCTTAGTTACCACAGCAGCTGGTTTCTTGGTTTACTCAAGGTTACCCCAGCTGATGGTTTCTTGGTTTACTTTATGTTACCACAGCAGATGGTTCCTTGGTTTACTCAAGGTTACCACAGCAGATGGTTTCTTGGTTTACTCTATGTTACCACAGCAGATGGTTCCTTGGTTTACTCAAGGTTACCACAGCAGATGGTTTCTTGGTTTACTTTATGTTACCACAATAGATGGTTTCTTGGTTTCCTCAAGGCTTCTACAACAGACGGTTTCTTGGTTACCCCGGGTAACCATAGCAGATTGTTTTTTAGTTTACCATGAGCCACCACAGCAGATGGTTTGTTGAATTACACTGGGCTACCACAGCAGAAGGTGTCTTTTGTTACTCTGGGTAACCACAGCATAAAGTACATGGAGGCCTATAGTTTGTTTGCCTTTGTAGATTGTTGTCAGCAATATTCCAGCTATGTTGCCTGATTGCAGATAATCAAGTCTGGGCCATGCAAACATTGCATGGTTGATAGCATGATTTGCATCCATCATCAGGCCCACTTGCACAAAGCGATCTTAGTGCTAAGATGATCGTAACTCCCATACTTTAACATAGGCTTACAATAGTCTTAGCGCTAAGATCGCCTTGTGCAAGTGAGCCCAGGACAACAAGCAATCACCCAAACCCAAACCCCAACAGACTTTCAGACAATACTAATCAAACAAGAAACTCTGCTGTAAGAATCGACATTTAAACCTAATTCAGGCAGTTGGGTAGCCTGGAGGTTAAGGTGTCTGTTTACCATACCAAAGACTAGGTTTGATATCCCAGATCTGTGACTAACCATTGTGAGATACTGCTGGAATATTGCCAAAACTGACATCAAATCAAACTCATCCACTTACATGGGAACCTCCCGAATGTTCCCACGGACTAACCTTCCACACAGTGTCATCAGTCATGAACCGGACCAACAGTCTCTACAAGCCTGTAGCGCAGACGAGGCCTTGATCCACAATTACTGCACCTATCAATAGTTCCCCTTTACTGGAGGGAGGCTGCCCAATATGTCCTTGTTCTCATCACTGTCGTTGCCAAGGACTTGACATCAAAGATGCCGTAATCCAATCCTGTTAACAAATTTTGGTTTGATCAATGGCCAATTTGCATGACACACAACTAATTAGAATATCGACTGTTTTTGTAACAGGGGATTTGATGTTTATTTTATTTCCAGGGGCATTGGCTTTGTCTATTTTTAACATTATTGATGAAAGAATTATAAAGCTTTGTAAAGTATTTGCTTCCGCTGTCCTGTTGACAACTTTTCATCTTGAGCAAGGATACAAGAATAGGCTGGAATGAAGGGCAGTGTCTGTTAGTTCAAAGTGTATTATCTTGAAATCATATTTTGAAATATTCTTTGATAAAGTCGGAATCTTACAATGGACTCTGCTTTTGGAAAAGGTTTTATTTATGGCATCTGCACATTTCATGTTTATGGCATCTGATGTTTAATTACACAGATGCTATACCTCTGATGACTTATTCCATGTTACACAGATGCTATGCCTCTGATGACTTATTCCATGTTACACAGATGCTATACCTCTGATGACTTATTCTGTGTTACACAGATGATATACCTCTGATGACTTTTTCCATATAACACAGATGTTATACCTCTGATGACTTATTCTGTGTTACACAGATGCTATACCTCTGATGACTCATTCTATGTTACACAGATGCTATACCTCTGATGACTTATTCCATGTTACACAGATGCTATACCTCTGATGACTTATTCCATGTAACACAGATGATATACCTCTGATGACTTATTCTGTGTTACACAGATGCTATTCCTCTGATGACTTATTCCATGTTACACAGATGCAATACCTCTGATGACTTATTCCATGTAACACAGATGCTATACCTCTGATGACTTATTCCATGTTACACAGATGCAATACCTCTGATGACTTATTCCATGTAACACAGATGCTATACCTCTGATGACTTATTCCATGTTACACAGATGCTATACCTCTGATGACTTATTCCATGTAACACAGATGATATACCTCTGATGACTTATTCTGTGTTACACAGATGCTATTCCTCTGATGACTTATTCCATGTTACACAGATGCAATACCTCTGATGACTTATTCCATGTAACACAGATGCTATACCTCTGATGACTTATTCTATGTTACACAGATGCAATACCTCTGATGACTTATTCCATGTAACACAGATGCTATACCTCTGATGACTTATTCCATGTTACACAGATGCTATACCTCTAATGACTTATTCCATGTAACACAGATGCTATACCTCTGATGACTTATTCTATGTTACACAGATGCTATACCTCTGATGACTTATTCCATGTTACACAGATGCTATACCTCTGATGACTTATTCCATGTTACACAGATGATATACCTCTGATGACTCATTCTATGTTACACAGATGCTATACCTCTGATGACTTATTCCATGTTACACAGATGCTATACCTCTGATGACTTATTCCATGTAACACAGATGATATACCTCTGATGACTTATTCTGTGTTACACAGATGCTATTCCTCTGATGACTTATTCCATGTTACACAGATGCAATACCTCTGATGATTTATTCCATGTAACACAGATGCTATACCTCTGATGACTTATTCCATGTAACACAGATGCTATACCTCTGATGACTTATTCAATGTTACACAGATGATATACCTCTGATGACTTATTCTATGTTACACAGATGCTATACCTCTGATGACTTATTCCATGTTACACAGATGCTATACCTCTGATGACTTATTCCATGTAACACAGATGATATACCTCTGATGACTTATTCTGTGTTACACAGATGCTATACCTCTGATGACTTATTCCATGTTACACAGATGCAATACCTCTGATGACTTATTCCATGTTACACAGATGCTATACCTCTGATGACTTATTCCATGTTACACAGATGCTATACCTCTGATGATTTATTCTTTGCTACACAGATGCTTCACCTCTGATGACTTATTCCATGTAACACAGATGCTATACCTCTGATGACTCATTCTATGTTACACAGATGCTATACCTCTGATGACTTATTCTATGTTACACAGATGCTATACCTCTGATGACTTATTCCATGTTACACAGATGCTTTACCTCTGATGACTTATTCTTTGCTACACAGATGCTATACTTCTGATGACTTATTCTGTGTTACACGGATGCTATACCTCTGATGACTTGGATTGGTCGGCTTGGAATCAGTATACTGTGTCTGAGTAGGGTATCGATGTTGGGTATATCTATAAGATATGTATAGGTGAAATTTTTTAAACTTTTTAAGAATTTTAAAATCAAACAATGTGGGAAAGAATTACATTGCGTAACAAATCTTTAAAAAAATCCAGAAAGAACTGACAGCTGGAAGCTAGGGATTTTTACAGCTTGTCTAAATCTGACACAGTGTGGTTCATTATTGACCGGTTGAAAATAACCATTTTAACTGTAAGTCTCAGGTGATGTTGTAATCTGTGTACTCAGTGATGCAATTACCTAACAGATTGTGTGGGTGAAACAAAATGAATAAGATTAGTAGTTGCTGGGAGGATAATTCTTTATGTGAACCCAGAATAAGAAACCCAGATGAAAGAGTTCACATGTTTGTCAAATGAGTTTCAAGGTATTTTTATAACCTTTATTCCTTTTGTACAAATTTTATGTCAGTCAACAACTGAATTATAAACTGTAAAACTAAACCAGGCTTCAATAGGTTAAAGATAACTAAAACAGCTCAAACGTAGCATCTGAAATTCACGGCCCTGTTCCACAATACGATCTTAGCTTTAAGGTGATCGTAACTCCAATACTTTACCATTGTCTTACGACAGTCGTAGCTGTAAGATTATGGAGCCCAGATTTGGACATCGGGACCACAGCAGTGGTTTTAACACTCCCCAATCAGCGAACCTCATTATCTCTGCAAAGGTTGATGTAAAATAATCATAGAATTTTTTTATTAATTTGAAACATGCATATACAGTATGATATAAATTTGATATACAAATTTCAAAGATTTGGTTTGGTCCGGCTTCGTGACTTGAGTTTATTGTCGTCATATACCATGCTTTCTCCTGTTTTCAGCATCACTTATTTACTCATGCATGCACACACTCGTGTCGCTTCCTCGGTCAATCACTCAGTCACACACCCGTGAAGATCCGGGTAGAATAGGTCTTCAGCAACCCATGCTTGCCGTGAAAGGCAACTATGCTTGTCGTAAGAGGCAACTAATGTGATCGGGTGGTCAGACTCACTGACTTGGTTGATGCATGTAATTGTATCCCAAATGTGTGGATAGATGCTCATGATGTCAATCACTGGATTGTCTGGTCTAGACTTGAATATTTACAGATCGGCATCATATAGCTGGAATATTGCTGAGTGCAGCATTAAACAACAAACCAAAAAACAAACAAAACATCACTCAGTCACTCACTCACAGTGTATGCTAGAGAGTGAATGTTGTTTCAAAAGCCAACTTTGGCCTGGTTTATCTAAATTGGGGATGATGATTTGTATTCATATTATTTTGGGTTTCCCAGAGTGACAGACATCAAGCACCTGCTTC